CCAAAAAAACTCATCGCAACCTTATTCAAATATTTTGAACAGGAATCAATTGCCTTTTCAAAGAGAAAACCACTAATACCCAATACATTAATATTTGTTTTATAGTCAATAGTTTTTATACGATTTCAATTTTTAATACCACTAATTTTAGATAAAAATAAATGTGTTTTTCGCTTTTTCAGCCAATAGTTTTCGAATATTTCAGCTAAAAAAATATCACATTGTGGGCAGATAGAAAAACAAAAATTTACATTGCAATGAACACGATTTCATTTTTTTTGTACATAAACGAATATCAGGTCAATAGAAGTATTAAAATTATTTTTTTTTCTGTATAATTAAAACCGATATTTATTTTTATTTGGAAATAGCTGTCTGGAAACCATCAAATGTCAGATGCAATATGGAAAACATTTCTTTTTATAAATCAAGCTGTATACAATTAAGGGTTTAATGTATCTCTCTGACGAATTGAACAAAAATTTACACAACCATCAAAAATAATAAAAAATATCGGTTTAAGGACCCTTTTGAAATATTTATGCGGGGTGTCAAAAAATAGTGTATCTAAAGCGGCCCATACATTATCAAACAAATTGCGCAACGAAGCGATGCGCAACGTTGCGTTGCACAACTGATTCAGCGGTCCATACACTATCAAACAAATTGCGCAACAAAGCGATGCGCAACGTTCCGTTGCACAACTGCCTCACCCATGCACTTAGTAAAATTTTGATCAAACCGTTTATTAAAAGTTGTGCATTGTTTGAGAAACAATCATATCCTCAATTGCCATTGCATCAATTATTATCGTATATACCCTAGATGATGTCGATGATACCAAAAAACGAAAAAGAAAACAAAGAATTTGGATGAAAGAACTAAAATATTGCACAACGAAACGCAACACACACATACACTACACAATGCGTTGCGCAAACAGTCCTGTTGCACAAAAGAATTCAAACATTCTTGAACACATTGCGCAACAGTCTGCGTTGCGCAATTTGTTTGATAATGTATGGGCCGCTTAATGCGTGTCAAATACTCGTAAGCGAGTACACTGTGAGTGATTTTATACTATCGCCTCTACATAATATTAATATAATAAGTGAAAATAAATATTATATATGTTTTCTCTTTAATTTCTACAAGTCTTGGCTGTTAGAACTGATTTATTTATATTTTTCTCTCTATTATATTTTCCTAAGTTTTATGAGAATATTTTAATTCTGGCACTTCGTAAAAAGAACTTATTAAAAAAGTCAGAGGGTCATTAATTCTAGAAAATGCATTTTTTAAGCTTTGCGACAAAATTTAATATTCTCTATTTTCTTTCTTACTTTTTAATTATCAACACAACGGATTACGTTTTGCATTTTTTAATATTACTTACTTGATTTTATTTTCAATTTTTTTTCAATTATTATTACACAAAAGTTGACATTGTTAACATAAAAATGTCTAATTATAAGTTTTTGTAATAATGGAAATTAAAAATTGAATAATATTTTTATTTTATATTTTAAGCCCTCCTGAAGTAAAATATTAAAATTAAAATATTATTATATACTAGCGTGTACCAGCGACTTCGTTCGCGTCGAATTAATCATTTGTAATGGTGATGATAAAGCAAAGCAAGAATTTCCATTAACATACAAACTGGATAAAATTTTCTCACATTTATGTCAGCATGAGAAAAAACAATATGGCGATATTATTATATAACTTGGTAATATTTGAGGGGTAGTTTCATCTAGTTGGAATTTGACTTTCGAAAAATCCGTTTGCCAAAAATAAGCTTTTTACGTCAAGCAGTTTAAGCAGAATCGTGTTTAATCAATTATCCAACTTTTTGGAACACCCTGTATGATTTTTTAAAAAAATTCTAAATATGTAAAAAAACCAAATAAATTATGCTTGTCCAAGCGTTTTCCCGAAAGACTAACCGTTTTTTAAATAACAAATATTGTAATATTTGAGGGGCGTTTTCACCCTCTTGGAATTTGAGATTCGAGAAACCACTCCTTATCGAACCTCTCCACCACACAGTCAATCCGTTTGTCAAACATCAGCTTTAAATATCAAGCAGTTTAAGCAGAATTTTCATTAATCAATGGTCAAATTTTATGAAACACCCTGTATAAATTTATAAAAATCTTAAAATATGTAAAACAACAAAATAAAATATACGTGTTTAAGCGTTTTTTCGGAAACTTGACCGTTTTTTAAATAAAAAATATTGTAAAACTTGAGAGGTGGTTTCATCCTCTTGGAACTGGAATTTCGAAAAATCCCTTCTTATCGAACCTCTACACCCTAGAATCAACCTGTATGCCAAAATTGAGCTTCTTACGTTGAGTGGTTTGAGCAGGATCGTGATTAATCAGTATGTCAGTCACATAAGGATTTTTATATATTAGTATAGATTTATTCCAGACATTTTTTTGAGCATCTCAACTAATATTTAAGAAATTAAGATAACTTTTAGGTATCTCAATTACATATTTACATTAATTAATACAGATAAGAATAATACTTCATCAGAGTGTTTATTTTGAACTATATCTCACATCAAAATATTGACGCTGGTAAACAAAAATTTCAGTAATTTGAATACTGATAAACTTTTTGGATAATTTGATTACTAAATTTAAACATTCTTACAGTTTTAACTAATTACAAAGATTATAAAGTGCATAAAAACTTGGATTTATGAATCTTTTTTTTTTGATTAGCAAAATAAAAAAAGAACAACTATATCATTGTGGTTTGTTAAATGTAATGGTTCTCAAAATTTAGAGAGGTCTCCCACAAATCAAGTTTGCACAGGCGGTCCGTACGAAAAAATTGAACGTATGCGACGGCCTTTGCAGTCTTTCAGTTCATATTAATATAAATTGGTAGTGATTTTTTTTTTCTATTTTCCACTGAACCCTTTTCAAACTTTATGTAAATTTTCACACTGTCTCGGAAAATTTCTTGACGACATCGTCTCACAAAGAAAATGAGGGGATTTTTATTCAAACTAGAATTTTCTCCCTTGATTATATATATTTTTTTATGTCCCAGAAATAAACATAAAGAAAATTGGTAACAGGGTTTCTTTTCTAATGCAAAATGGTGAGAATTGATGGCAAGCTGTCGTGGTAAAATAGAATCAACTTCTTGACTCGTTCTAGGAAGAGGTTTAAAAACGAAAATATTTGAGTGTATTTTTACAAAAATGAAATCATTTGGTATGATTTTGTAAGAGAAATATATTTTTAAACTTAATAATTTTCTTTTATATTAGAATAAAACACATGATTTATTTTTCGCTTTATTAGAAAGCATTTTTCATTTACAGTGACATGCTTATTTGTAAGAAAAATTGAGCATTAGTTAAAAATAGCTTAACTAATTGCATAATGAATATTTTTCGTGACAAATTATTAAACTTGATTTATTGTATATGTTCAGCTGATTAATCTTTGGCTGGCACAAAGAATTACTTAAGGGATTCCATAGACGCTCAGTTCTTTAGCACAGGCTGACTGTGCAGACGAGTTTAGTCTGTACTAACAGTGCAAATTTTTTTAGGTGTACTATATTTGGACTCCATAACGATTATGAGTTTTTTTCGCGAAAAAAATATTTTGAATATTTGGTATTTTTTGAAAATAATTTTAGACAGTTTTTTAGTTTTTTTAGTTTAAAAACAGATAACTAAATTTCTTGATAATATGGCAACATAGGTAGTAGATTAAATCTGCAAGAAGGAAAACCTAGAAAAGATCCAGTAGTTCTCAAAATTTAAGCAAAACATTTTTTTTTTGGAATTTTTCAAATATAACTCGGTTATTTTGAATTTATTTGAAAAACGGTAAAGAGGAAATATGTTTTTTTTATCGAGATCTACCAGCTCCAAAAATATTTGCACTTCTTTAAGACTCGTCCTGTATAGAGTTCTGTCTTTCATTCTGTTCGCTGGGTCAATAAAAAAAAAAATATTCCTATCACTGTACTCCAAATATGTTATTTTTCAACATTATAATTTAATAAATTAACATAGAATTTGTTTATTTAACCTAGACATTTTGTCTTAAGTTATAATAGACTAAATTTTGTTTATGGACTGAAAGAAAATGAACTCAAAAAGCACCACACACGTCCAGTCTTCGAAGTTTACGCAGGCCAAATCTAAGTAGTTTTATTTCGCTCAGATTGGGTCAATAGTTTGCACAGTCGGCTGGAAAATCCCACACACGTGCTAATATGCCTGCACAGATCAGCTTTTCCAAATCAAGAATTGTTGACAATAAAAATGATGGCGAATAAGCAATTACGACAGAAAAACTCATAGAGATTAAAAATATACTGTCACTAAAAAAATAATAAACTCAGATGTTCCTGCAGAAAAATTAAAAACTCTTTAAAATCTGAAGAGTCAACTGTATGTGGCTTAACTTTAAGAATTCATTTCAATAGTCCGAAAAAATAGCAAAATAAGCGTTCGGCATTTAACGTTTTATGTCAAACTGGCTAGGTATTTTTACACAAATGAAGAAGGAAATTAAAGATAAAAGATTACACTATATCCGTATTGTAGCACATTTTTAGACAACTTCTTTATTTTTAAGATTTTGATGGTCAAACATCAACAAAATATTCCTTATGTTTGGACTAAATTTTCTCGAAAATAAAGACATAACTTAAAATTCCGTTACAATACGGAGATAGATTGAAGTTTTGTGAGTACAGTGGTGTATAATTTATATGGTTTTGTAACAAATTGATCGCTATTTTATGGCAAATACTGAAGCTATGCAAACCTTAATCAAGCCTTAATCAAAGCACGTGTGTTTGGAATTTTGGGTGTGGCTTAACACGACAGGATAGGGCTAAGCCTTAGGCAGATTTCTGAAATATAATATATATTTCAGAAAGTACAACGTATATTATATATTTCTCATCGCATTGGTCTAAATAATCGGTTATGTTTTTGATTATTTACTCACCCTGCCGTCGACGAACGTCACTGTACTCGGCAGCATGTAGTCCTCGTCCGCCATCTTGGCACGTACGCCTCTGGTAGCAGTGATCGTCCACCCAGACGTACCGTGTAAACAAATAGAGAACCACTCGTTGCCGCTGTCAAACAAATAAAACAATCGCGATCGGTCTATGTTTTCCCGCTGTTACTGCTATTTCTATCGTTTCGATGGAATTTCGTAAGGTTTCCTTCGTTCGCGAGCAACGATACGTCTCGGTTCAAGACCTAGGCCTACTATGCGAATAAACAGGCCGGAGACATGTACTGAATGTAGAATGGAGTTAATCACCGCAAACTTACAGATCTATTGCGTCTCAAGGCTTTGACACAAGCCAGTATCTGAGATGTTTTTACAGAGGTTAGTTCTCTATCTCCGATATCAGTTGTCGTTTTGGCGCACTCAGCGATGAGGTGTTCTGGTATTTCTTAATTTTCCCCACAGAATCTGCATTCGCCGTTTTTTAGCTTCAATCTACTGAGATGTTCATTGAGGAAATGTCCTGTTAAAAAGTTCGTACCAATCCGAAGATTGTTCTGACTTAAATCAAGGAAAATCGATTTTTCTCGGTGGTAAGTTCTGAGAAATATCTTTGAGTATTTTAGACCGTTGGATTCTTGAATTTCGTTTTAAGTTGGTTTAAACTTGGGATGCAGAACGGTTCTATGTCCAGTTAGTAGAGTGTTTGCTCTTTTTCTATCTAGATTGTTTGCTTTTTCACCGCCTTCTATGCCTTGGCGAGACACCCAAAGTAAAAAGACTGTATTTTCTTTGTTTAATTTGTTCAGCTTCTCTAGGAATTTCTTTAACCAACTTCGAATAAATGATTACTGAGTCGATGGCTTTTAATTCTGCTTGACTATCGGACAAGATGACTATTTCTTGTTTCTAATAGTTCCTATCTGAGGCTACCAGCGCAAAAACGGCCTAACCCCAAAAACTTGTTTTGAGAAAATTTGGAGTAAAGTCTAGTGACAATAATGCTACAGTACATCTGCTGGATCTGTGTCTATGAAAGGAATGCGGACAAAAAACATTTAAATAAACAGCAATATATTTTATACGTCCACTTGACGAGTACGTCACCGCAAATCGCTCCGCCCACACATTTTATTAGCCACTTGCAAATTTGTCGAATTTTTATTGATGGGACGCGTCGTCTAATTTTTTGTGAAAAAACATCGAGAGAATATCGTTTCCCCTCTCACGGATACCCCGTAGCTACAGAACGGACAGACGTACTGTACAATAAGATCGTAAAATTATACAGGGTAGTCCGAACTGTATTCCGGAAACTTCAGCAGCATATTCTGCGGATAAAAATAAGTATAAAAGTTTGTATAAATGTATGTCCTAAAATGCTTAGTTTCGAAGATACAGGGTGTAAAAGTTTCAATTTTATTTCGATTTTTTCCAAATATTTTCTGAAGTAAGGTCAATATATGGATGAAAATTGGTGTCTAGGAGTTTTTTGACATGAAAAATTTGATTTTGATGCCAATATGACTTCTACTTCTAGAGGGCGCCAGCTACATATGTTTTAACAGGTTTAAAGTGTAATAACTTTTCGTCCGTACCTGTATAAAACTAAAGAATAAAAAATATACATTTACAACATTTTATACGTAGAAAAGGTCTCTTGATAAAAATCGCTACGAGTAATGGTTCTTGAGATATTTGGAATCGAAATTATCAATACCCTGTCATCATTGACATAAATTAAACATGTTGACTAAATAGTTATTAGACTGAAATGGTTATTAGACTGAAAAAACACATGTAGGTGGCGCCACCTACAAGTAGGAGTCATATTAACATCAAAATTAAATTTCTTGAAAAATCTGGAAAAAAATCGAAATTAAATTGTAACTTCTACACTCTGTATCTCCGAAACTAAGCATTTTAGGATATACATATATTTATGAGAACTTTTTTACTTATTTTTATCTGCAGGATATGCTGCCGAAGTTTCTGGAATACAGTTCAGACCACCTTGTACATATAATATATACACACACCGGAAAAGTCTAGGGATATTACAATTTTATCCCGCCATCGTCAGTAATTTTATTATTTGCATTTCTGATATAATAAAATTAAAATAAACAAATAGTGTACCTGACGTATTGGAAATAAAAA